AGGAACCCCAGGCCGCAGGCGGGTGTCCTCCCCAGTAAAGGCAGACAGGGAAAGCCTCAGGTTTGAAGCCTCTTTAATTTGTGCCTCAGAATCAGTCTGGTGCCCCTGGCATCAGGGAGGGGGTAAGAGGAACCGTTTCTCTTTGTTCTTTCCTTCCATCCCTTTTGTGTCCCTTCTGAACCTCCCCGGCAGAGCCGGAAGGCCCGTCAGAGAGAACCTGGGTCAAGGTGTGCCATGGGCCCCTGCCCCTGGCAGGGTCTGTGCTTCTCTTGGTGGGTGGGGTGGGCAGGGAGAGCCGGGGGTTAGCACCATTGGATGAAGGGTTTTAGAATCAGCCCCTGGGAGGGGGCAAGTGGGGCGCACAACCACGAGGGCTAGCAGCAGCTGGTGGGAGGGGTGGGTGGTGGTGCCTGGGCCTTGGGCAGCCCCTCTGCATCCAGTCTAGTGTAGGGTCTAGAGCTTGCCCCCAGCCCAATACGTCCCCCATTTGCCAGAACAGCATGTGGGAGCCAGGCGAGCCCAGGTGTGGGGGGCCACCTTGGGCACCCTCCCTGATCACAAAAAAAAATGTCTTGGGGAAGGGGTCTCCAACCTCTGGCTGCCCAAATTGAAGCTGGGACCACCCTGAGACCTGGGAGGGGTGTGGGGGCTGGGGGAGCTGGGCACCCCGCTAAGTGCACTTGACGCTGAAATGCTGGAGTGGGGGAGGGGCTGGGCCCTGGACGTGCTGGTTTGCGTCTGGAACAAAGCAGCAACACAGCACTTGGGGAGCTCAGCTGCCCCCAGGGGTGAAGAGCGGAAATGCAAAGGCTTCACAGGCAGTGTCCGGGGGTGGGGTTAGTGAGCAGGAAGTAGGGCCAGCCAGGAGCAGGGCTGGGGGACACTGCTCCTCTGAGGACTGGTCTCTCGCTCAGGACCGCCTGGCTCTGCCCTTGGACAGGGGAGAGGGCTGAGGGTCAGTTACAGCAAAGCAGGGGGACTGGGCCCAGCCAGCTGCCTCCTGGCCTGGCCATGCTGACCCCCTCCTGGTCTGGTGCCTGGTGCATCCCTACGCCCCCAAGGCGGTG